CCAGCGCTTCCTTTTTAGTCTTCCCATGTAAGAAAAATACTGATTCATTCATTACCTGAAAAATCCATCCATCAGTAAGGACAGAACCAGCACATTTCACAATAAATGTATATCTTTGTGAGTAAAAAAGTACTTTCACTGTACATTTGTCATGGACATATTTGAAGCAGTAAGAATTTTTACGCTTAAAGTAAAAACTAGCAAATTTTTAAGTTGGCATAAGAATATTCAAGGAAATCACAATACGTGCTACTTGAAAGACACAACAAAGTTATTGGCACTGGGAGGTGAAAATTATCTTCATAGGACTAATGTCTTGGGGAAGAGGTCTTAGCAAGGTCATGAGCTGATGATACTCCATATCATCTCCAGATAGAATACCAAGACAGGCCACTCCTATTCGCTGCTGCTAGGAGTGTGAAAGAGCATGAGAAACAGTGGGCAATTCCTACCCAGAACCTCCAAAAATAAGTCACATTTTCACCCTCAGAGAAATCAATGCTAAGGAAGGAAATACTCAGAGATACAAAGATTTATGCATAAGAATATTCATGATAGTATTATTTATAATACTGGAAAACAATCTCACTGCCCCCAAATTAAAAAATGGTTAAATGATACTATATCTATAGAATGCAGTAATAGAAAATCATTAAATTCATGCTTTCAGAGAACACTTAATGCCGTGGGGAAATGCTCATAATATGCTAAATGAGAAAAACCGTTGAGGTCAGCCTACATGTAAAAATATACATGTGTACATGTATATAATATACACACATACAAACATAGGTAGACGCACATACAAAATATCTAAACACACACCAAATTTTAAAGGCGCATAGACAGTTTTTTTTCTCAAATATGGTCTGCCACTCATATACCTCAGAATCACCTTGGGGGCTTATTAAAAATGCAGATTTTTAATAAGACTTAGTGAATTGAGTTTTTGAAAGCAGAGCCTAAGGATCTCTGTCTACCTACACACCCTGAGTAATCTTGACTCACCCCTCAGTTTGAGGATCACTGGGTCAGAAATAACAGCTCTCTCTGGGTGAAAGAATTATGAATAATTCTCTTCTTTTCTTGAATCTTAAAAATATTCTCTACCAAGCATGTGTTGCTTTTATAATTCAAAGTTCATTAAAGTGCATTAATGAGGCAGGAGTATTAAACAGAGCTGATTTAGGGTCTATTTGGGCAAGTGTAAACAACTTTGGAGAATTCGAACATGCACTTTTTTTTTTCTCAAGACAAGAGTCTTGCTCTTTCACCTAGGCAGTGCAGTGGCGTGATCTCGGCTGACTACCACCTCCACCTCCCAGCTTCAAGCAGTTCTCCTGCCTCAGCCTCCCGAGTACCTGGGATTATAGAAGCCCACCACCACACCCAGCTAAATTTTTGTATTTTTCGTAGAGATGGGGTTTTACCATGTTGGCCAGGCTGGTCTCGAACTCCTGACCACAAGTGATCCGCCCACCTCGGCCTCCCAAAGTGCTAGGATTACAGGTGAACCACAGTGCCTGGCCAAAAGCGTACATTTTTAAAAGTTTAAAATAAGTAGATATCTATGGATTCCTTACAATTGAGTCAGTTTAAGACAAAGGAAGTAATGTATTAAGTGTAGACATGGAAATCATTACTCAATGAATTGTGCAGGTAAAAAATATAAATAGAATAATTTTGCAATGTGTAGAGAATAGCATTGCTAAAGTTCCAAGATCTTCCTTGGCAAAAAGAGGATTTGGTAATCAAATAAATTTGGGACACAATACATATTATGGTCCCCCTCCCCACTTAGAGTCAAATCCTTGGGTAGATTACAGGTTCTGAGAAGTCCCATATAAACTTCATTCTTCATTCTAGCTCCACAAATTCTCAGAATGTCCCTATCATTGAAAACAAATTCTGGGCCAGAAGAGGGTCTAGAAAAAGTTCTCATCATGGACTGATACTCTACACTTGATCCAACGTATCATTTCCACATTCCCATGGCCTCTGAGGGCTTAGCCCATATGTATTTATAGAGCCTGATTCTAAGGGCATGGCTCAGGTCAGCTACAAAGTAATGCTCAGGAACAGCAAAATTTGAGTGCCCAGGCTACAAGATTAGAATATGTAAAGCAACAAGATTTAATTTTATCTATTTGTCTCTTTCACTAGGCTGTGAGCTTACAGCTAGAATTTTGCCATTTGTCTGTTTTATGTACTACCAACACAACAAAGTCTGGTACTTATTTATTACACAGTGAATGGGCACCACCAACCAGGTGGTTTATATTCTTTCTGATAAGTTCAGTAATGAAATGGGCTAGGCATTTAAGCATGTCCTAAAGTGTGTGCACTCATGTTATCAAGGCTTCATTTTAAAAGCATTTCTGAGTGCTTACTATAGGTGAGCCATTTCTTTCTTTTCTTCTTTTTTTTTTTTTTTGAGACAGAGTCTCGCTCTGTCACTCAGGCTGGAGTGCAGTAACATGATCTCAGCTCACTGCTGTCACCCAGGCTGGAGTGCAGTAACGTGATCCCAGCTCACTGCAACCTCCACCTCCCGGGTTCAAGCAATTCGCGTGCCTCAGGCTCCCGAGTAGCCGGGATGACAGATGTGCACCACCACACCCGGCTAATTTTTGTATTTTTAGTAGAGACAAAAAATGCAAATTTTTGTATTTTTAGGGTTTAGCCTCATTGCCCAGGCTGATCTCAAACTCCTGGCCTCAAACAATCCATCTACCTCGGCCTCCCCAAGTGCTGGGATTACAGTTGTGAGCCACTGTTCCTGGCCAAGATGGAGTCTTGCTATGTTGCTATGGACTTGAACTCCTGGGCTCAAGTCATCCTCCCACCTCAGCCTCCGAAGTAGCTGGGACTACAGGAACACACCACTGCACCCAGCTCTAGGTGGGCATTTCTAAGGATGTAACAGTGACTAAGACATAGTCTCTACCCTCAGGGGCTTCATGCATTACAGATACTCATCCAAGCCATTCTAGTCCTAGAGTCCTAGTCTCATGCACAAATTTGGGTACATATTAATGTCTAATTAAGGCTTATTTGAATTGAGTTTAGAAACCATGACAGGCTTTATGCATGGTCAAAGTTTGGCACTTGGGGGGCGGGAAGAATCTGCAGTAAGATAGACCATTCTAGAGGCTGCATCAGGATTGTCAGATCTCAAGTAACTAGACTTATCTTGATCATTGCTACTTTTTTCTTTTTTGAGAGAGAGAGAGATGGAGGGTCTTGCTTTGTTGCTCAGACTGGAGTGCAATAGCACGATCATGGCTTACTGCAGCCTCAGCCTCTCCAGGCTCCCACCTTGGCCTCCTGAGTAGCAAAGACCACAGGCATACACCACTATGCCTGGCTAACTTTTGTGTTTTTTGTAATGATGGGGTTTCACCATGTTGACCAGGCTGGTCTGGAACTCCTGGGCTCAAGCAATCCACCTGCCTTGGCCTCCGAGTGCTGGAATTACAGGCATTAGCCACTGCCCCTAGCTGGTCATAACTACTTTGGAGTCTCCAAAACTAGCCAGTAGTCAAAAATGTTGGCCAGAGAAGCCCCAGAGCCCAGAGAAATTGAACAGTATGTACTACAACAATGTTTCTAAATACATGTGCTATAAAGCTTTCTAGGTTCCTGAAATGTTAATACATAGTATTAGTGAAATAGGACTGAGAAAGGGTTCAGTAGAGCTGACAGGCCTCTGTACTACAGGATTTCTCAACACCTTTAAGCAATGTGCTATGCTCCTTATACATGTTGTCTTGTTTAACAATCTGTGAATTGGGTCTTACTGTTTTTCCCATTTTTGAAATGAGCACACTGAAGAAACTCAGAGTGTTACCAGCTCCAGACCGTAAGTCACAGAATGGGATTCTGGGATCAGGTCTTTCTGGCACCAAACACTGGTTTATGATCATTTGAAGCAATACTGTTTTTAACATGTTGATGAGCACTACACCATTCCTAGAAAAACTGACAGCATAAAGTGTTTCCCAAACTGATTTGACCGAGGAGCCCTTCTGAGTGAATCAGCACTTAAGACTAGCTTTCCATGGAACATATTTTAAGAAACATTGTGGGGCAAATGATTCAGAGATACACCAGACAGAAGGAAGGTGGAAGGCAGCTCAGAAGGAAGAGCTATTCTAGAAAGAAAAAAAATTTTTTTAATTGTGCCGAAAGAATTATTAATAGGGACATGGAAATGAAACCTCAGTTTAATAGATAAGCATTTTTTCCTCCAGGTTCATAAGCTTCACTTGATGGCTCATTTCTTTAAAATGTTACTTGACATGACATTGCAATTCTAACATATTCACTCTTTAGGACTGGACTTGCCTAGTAATTCGACTCATTATGTCACTAATTTTGGTAAACTATATTCACATCAGGGGTTATCAGCTTTAACTTGCTGTGTATCTCAATGGGCCTGCAATATGCATTTCGGGGTGAGATGATTCTTAATTGTACATGACTGATCAAAATTTTTGTAGGACATCCCTGAATACTACTGACTAAATGCGAGTAGTAGCAGTACCACCAATACTATCATCAATACCATCATCTTCACCACCCCCCACCCCTGGAGTCAGTCACTGTAACAAGAAAACATCCCCATAATTTCAAAACTCCTTCTAGAGCAGTGTCAGCCCAGCTGAAAACCATGGGTTAAAAGCCAACCAGAAATTCAATAAAACGTTAAAATAAACACCTAGCCAAACCCTGTATTCAGTATTACAGCAAAGCTATGCTCATGCTATCGTCAATCCTGCATGTCCAACATCTCATGACATTTCTCCCTATTCTGTTAATAACACAAACAGATTCAACACAAACTGCCAAAATACCATTTTTAGCCATGAGGGCTGAGTCCTGTGCACTTTGCCAATAGCAGCAATAAAGCTGGGAAGCAGCTAAGCCCAGGACTGCATGGAACACTGGCTGATATCCGTGGTAGTAGCACAAAAGGAGAAGTATACCTGACTAGTCTATCATTTTGTCAAATTTGGACTTTAATAAGGATGTTGGGGTTTTTTCCTCTTAAAAAGATTTATTATCAAAAAGCTTACTTCCTTTAAATATACTGAGTCAATTCATCAATGCAACTCCATTCTTTTTAGGATTATTAGGGCCCAAATGATTTCAGACTAAAACAAGAAATAAAAAACTGGAATATAGGTTCAGTAACACATCACAGACATGTCAGTATGCACTCAGGAACACTGGTTTCATTTCTTGATTGGAATGCTTATCACCATAAAATCTTCTGCTAGAGTCACTTCTTGGAGATCTAACACTGATTCAGCTTGCTTTTTTAGTTCTGCAATGCCATCTGTTTCTCCTTCTCTGGCCAAGGCAACTGGTTTGTACCTCTGACTGAAGTGAGTCAGAACCAGCCTCTTTGCACGGCACAACTTTGCAAATGTTGCTGCCATCTGTGGTGTGCTGTGGCCATGCTCCTTTGCTTTGTCCATCTGGGCATCATCCAGGGTCGCTTCATGGATCAACAGGTCTGCTTCAAAGCACAGCTTTACTCCTTCATCACCCACAACCCCAGAGCAGTCCCCCAATATGCAGATTTTTCTTCCAACAATAGGCTTTTTTAAGACATCTTGGGGAGAAATTGTAACCCCATTTTCCAGAACAACAGAAATTCCATTTTTCAGCTTCCCATAGGCAGGACCTGGTGGAACACCTAATGATGAAGGCAGATAACATTACATCATAGGAATGGAATTTATGACTTTTCAAGTCTATTTTAACAGCATTGCAAATAGCTAATGGAAAAGGCATCCATAATTGTATGTTTTGCTACTTGTGGAAAACTGGAATTACTTATACATTTTAAAAATTTCAGTGTTGATTGATATTAGCAATGCCTTAGTACTTAAAATAATTCCCATGCATACATGTCAGACAAGTTTTAGTCTCCTACGTATCACTATTGTGGTCAGTATAACATTCTTGATTCTCTGCAGTGCATGGAAACAACAGTTTTTGAGAGTGCTTTATTTAATAAGCTCACCTTTGGGTAAAATTAAGAGTACATTTAAATAATGATATAAACAGGCTGGGTGCAGTGGCTCAGGCCTGTAATCCCAGCACTTTGCGAAGCCAAGGCAGAGAGATCACTTGAGCTCAGGAGTTTCAGACCAGCCAGGCCAACACGGCAAGACCTTGCATCTACTAAAAACACAAAAAATTAGCTGGGCACAGTGGTGCACATCTGTAGTCCCAGCTACATGGGAGGCCGAGGCATGAGAATTGCTTTAACCCAGGAGGCAGAAGTGGCAGTGAGTGAGCTGAGATCCTATCACTGTACTCCAGCCTGGACAACCGTGAGACTGACTCCAAAAAAAGGTTTAATCAACACCTAGTCAAACCAAGTACCTAGGAAGTGACTTAATAAAAAATTGTTAAAGAGGATTGTTTGTATTACAAGATCAAGGAGCATTTTTTCAGGCAATTGTACATTATTAATCTTCTTGGCAGACAGGGGTAGTTCCACATTTATCAAAGTGGGCCTAAATTTCATATTAATTTAAAATAAGATCTGATCATCACTATGGACAATACTTACAAACTAGTATAATGTGACCACAGATTCTAACACAGATCATGTTTAAAGTTTCCAAATATAATAGTAGTTCCACAGGCTTTCAGGTAATAAAAATACCCTTGGCCTAAGTCACTTTTCCTCATTATCTAGCATTTTATTTTAGTTGAGGAAGATAGTGCATAAATAAAAAAACAAACACACACATAATGCCACCATACTTTTTACAGTCACGGCCACACCATGTCTGTGAAGGCAGTGACACTGGAGATATAATGTACCTTGTACCTGGACTCTACCTCATAAGAGATGCTGAAGATCCCCTCATGCATCCTGGCTTAGCATGGAGAAGGTGTGAAGCCTTAGATGGGCCCCAAGCCCACCTCTATATGATTGCTTTCAACTGTGATGAACCCTGGTATATAAAACTGGCTGAGGCACAGCATTTTGAATACAAAATTAATTTAATCAAGCTTAAATTTGTAGGCAAAGTAGATACAGAAGGAAACTCTAAAAGCACATGGTTGTAGTTGCAAGGTTAAGAATGATGGCAAAAATTCTCAGACCAAAGATGACATCAAAAACACATATCAAAGGGAAGACATGAAAAAATAAAGCCTGAACCTAAAACCACCACCACTACCATCCAAACCACCTTGCCAACCAAGATAGTGTAAGGTGAAGACAGACTAAGAATGTGGATCCAGGGAGCTCAGGAGAGGATTCAGATGTTTACTTGGCTTTTGCTCTAAGTAGCATTTTTTTGTTCCCATGGATTTTCCTTAACAAGCAAACTTCGGGCAAAGGGACTAAGTGGAGAAAATGTCAGTTTTAGGCCTGGGATAGAGGAATGGAAGTTTACTATGGTACTTTTTTTTTTTTTTGAGACAGAGTCTTGCTCTGTCACCCAAGCTGGAGTATAGTAACGCCATCTTGGCTCACTGCAGCCTTGACCTCCTGGGTTCAAGTGATTCTCCTGCCTCAGCTTACCAGGAAGTTGGGACTACAGGTGCATGCCACCATACTCAGTTACTTTTTGTATTTTTAGTAGAGATGGGGCTTCACCATGTTTCCTAGGCTAGTCTTGAACTCCTGAACTCAAGTGATCCACCCACCTCAGCCTCCCAAAGTGCTAGGATTATAGGCATGAGCCACAACACCTGGTCTTACAATGACACTTCTTACAGCTTCAGTTAACAGGAACCCTATTGATGAGAAGGGGGTAAAAAAAGCTTACCGAGGTCTTTTAGTTTCTGTGCATTGAGTTTACCGGGGCGTTTCTTTTCCAAAACTGAAAACCCAAATGAGGGAATTCTGTGAAAGAGGCGAAATGCTTTTACAACAAACTGTTCATCATCAAACAGAAGGTATGAGTTTTCTTCTGAGTCTAGTAGGATAGTTCTTCCTTGTTCCTCTTTGGGAGGACTGCCTGCTCTATTCACATGTGTAAATTCTTTTAGTTCTTCTGCAGGACATTGATCCGCTGTGGGAACCAGTTCATGAACCACATAATGGAAGACCAGCTCCGTGTGAGAGAGTTCCATGGTTCGCCAGATAAAGTCCCGAAGCCCTAGAGGGCCATAGATTTCAATAGGCTGTTTGGACATGATGGAGCCACTCTGCAGGCTGATTGTGCAGAGGAGTCCAGGAAGGCCAAAGAAATGGTCTCCATGAAGATGTGTGATGAAGATCTTGGTAATTCTTCCTTTTGATTGAGACAGAGAATATATATTTGGAAATTTTTCATTAAGTAAAAACCCATACAAAGTTATTTGAAACAAGCCTAACAATTTACATTAAAAATAGTAAATTGATTTTAAAAGTTCTACTTACCATCATAAACTTATTCATTTACATTTTGCTACATTATTCCAAAAGCAAGAAAGACAGGCTTTATTTCACCAGTTTTTATTGGTTTGTTTTTAGTAGTTTTTTTAAAGAGACAGGTCTCACTCTGTCATCCAGGCTGTAGTGCAGTGTTGTGGTCATAGCTTACTGCAGCCCTGACTTCCTAGGCTCAAGTGATCCTACTGCCTCAGCCTTCCAAGTAGCTAGGACTACAAGTACCTACCACCATGCCTGGCTTTTTTTTTTTTTTTTTTAATTTTGTAGAGATGGGGTCTTGCTATGTTGCCCAGGCTGGTCTCAAACTCCTGGCCTTAAGCAATTTTCCCACCTCGGCCTCCCAAAATGCTAGGATTACAGGCTCTAGCCACTATGCCTGGCCCCACCAGATGGTTTCAATAAGATACAACTTTTTTCATAAAACATCTTCATATTACATAGTTTTACAGCTTTCAGAGTATTTTCTTACATTTTCTGTCACATTTTTTAAAAAAGTAAAATATACAAGAGTACCAAAATAATTCACTTAAATATTAAATAAATAGGCCTCAAGTATAAAAACCATCTAGCAATTACATTGCCTCCTACTGCTCCCTCTGAGAAAAGCAAACATGTATTACAGGAAAACAAAATGTTCCACTGGCTCCAACTGACTGGACCAGTGCCTGAACCCAAAATTGCCTTTTAAGGACTCCCTAGACTGGACAGGGATTAACCAATCAGGTCACAGCCTGCTTTTCTGGGTGAGGTTGAAGAAGATGGAGAAATGGAAGAAGGGCGAGGAAGGGAGAAGAAAGAGAGGAGGCAAAAGGGAGGTAGGAGAGGAACAAGGTAAGGAACTGAGAAGGAAGGTGGGCAATAGATGCCAGAATGAGAAGAGCTGATCCCCTATGCTATTATGTAAGGGTACTTGGGTCCATTCTTCCTTTCAGTCTGAACTAACATAACAGCTTTTTCAGTGCATATTGGCTTAGGTTATAACTTGATTTAGCCAATGGTAAACTGAATTTATTGCTGCAATGTGGCAGGATGCCACATCAGCATTTTCTGAGATGTGCCACATGGCATTTTGAAAGTAGCAATCACAACTAACACATTTCTAGTACAAAAGAGGCTTTTGGTCCTTTGCTCAAAGCCCACCTATTTTAAACACTTGATGCTATAAAAGTACAAAAACAGTTTATTGACACCATAAAAGAACAGGAAGAGTTTACTACAATGCAATTTGTCCCATAATATCAAGTGTTCTCCAAGCAAGTCTTCCCAGAATTATGACATTCAAGCCCAGGCCCCAGCAACAGAGAACAACAGACTGGGCACAGGCTGACTGTAGACCTTGCGAATCCCCAGGAGGCACTCTAGAAGTTTCCTCAATATGCTCCTTTTTCCTGTTTTTTGACTGCCTGAATCCCTCATTTCCCCCATCTCCCTGTCCAGCTTACCAAGCCACCTCCATGCATGACCTGAGGACCCTGCAGACAAAAGAACTATATAGCAGTAGGGCCAGATGTGGTGGCTCACACCTATAATCCCAACACTTTGGGAGGCTGAGGCAGGGGTGGGGGGGATGACCTAAGTTCGGGAGTTCGAGACCAGCCTCACCAACAGGGAAAAACCCTGTCTCTACTAAAAATTCAAAATTAGCTGGGCGTGGTAGCACATGCCTGTAATCTCAGCTACTTGGGAGGCTGATGCAGGAGAATCACTTGCTTGAACCCAGGAGGTAGAGGTTGCAGTGTGCCAAGATCATGCCATTGCACTCCAGCCTGGGCAACAAAAGCAAAACTCTGTCTCAAAAAAAAAAAAAAAAAAAAAAAAACTGCCAACATCAGACTTTCTGGGCCCTTTCCCTATCTACTCTAAAACAAAGCCAAACTGAATACAAAACAACTTGTGAACCTGAAGTGAGGCAAATTAATTGAAAAACTTCTTCTTACAGTTATCAACAGTTTCAAGGAGACAAACACTTCATTTTCCAAAAAACTTGATTTTGAAGGGAGAAGGAATGGCAACCACAATCATCAAAAGTATGAGGAAGCTCTGAAATGAAGACAGAAAAATGCCTGAGTTCCCTTTCCCTTGGAAACAAGAAAGTTGTGGGAGAATATGTCATCTACAGAGGAGTGGAATACTGAGCATTCTCTAAAAATGAAGGCATAGGTATATTTACTGGATGTGGAAAAGCTGCAATATATTCTTTGTATACATTGCTCAGTTGAAAAAAAAAGCAGGTTATGCCAAAAGCAGTATAATTCTATGTATGCAGAACACACACACACAGACACACACTCCCATACTATCACCACATATATATATATATATATATATATTTCACCTATGAAGGACGGGGGGCTTGGACTTTTCTTATTTACACTTTTGTGTTTTGTTTGGATTTTTACAATAAGCATTTATGCTTTTTACATAATTTTAAAAATCATGCTCTTATAATACTTTTAATAATCATTTCATGTGTACACGAATATATGGTGTAGAATAATATATATGGAAGACTTGGAAGCGTGGAAGGGTGGCTGGGGGGGTGAAGGATGATTAATTACCTGATGGGAGCAATGTACATTATTTGGGAGATGGATACACTAAATCCCAGACTTCACCACTATGTAATATATCCATGTAACAAAACTGCAATTATATTTAAATTTATATCAAAAAAATTTCACAATCATTAAAAATTTTGTTTTTTTTTTTTTTAGAGACAGGTCTCACTCTGTTGCCCAGGCTGGAGTGCAGTGGCACAATCATAGTTCATTGTACTCTTGAACTCCTGGGTTCAAGTGATCCTCCCACCTCAGCCTCCCAAAGCACTAAGATTACAGATATAAGCCACCATGTCCAGCCCATTTTTAAGGGGAAAAAAGAAGGATTACGCTTGTTCTTTAAAACTCTAAAAGAAATGGAGATGGCAAACCTACACTTCTTAATCAATCAGAGATGTGCATATTAGGACCCTGGAAGCTAATAAGAAGTATGTTTAGCTAAATAGAAAGAAACTCCTATGAAACTCAAAACTTATTATCCCTGGAGGTAGTACAAGCTGAAAGGGTTTCAATGAACCAAATAATGATAGGTCCATAATAGGTTATGGAGAGAAATTACTATATATTGAGGGTGCTGCATTCCAGTTTGAGACTGGGGGCATTTGAGTACTAGAGAGTCATAGGTAATGCTCTGGGATTACTCTCTCACCTTCCTCTCTGAGGCCAGAAATTTTTTTCTAAGCCTATGGAAATGTAGTAAACTAAAGGTTCCCTTAGGCTTTTGGGGGTATTTTTTGGCCAAGATTAGATTTACCAACTGTACATAAGAATGTGTGTGTTTATGTTTATTTATTTGTTGAAACAGGGTCTTGCTCTGTCACCAGGCTCGAGTGCAGTGGCCGATCATGGCTCACTGCAGCTTCGACCTCCTGGGCTCCAAGGATCCTCATGCTTCAGCCTCTGGCTGGGACCACAGGTGCACAAAACCACCCCAACTTTTTTATTTCTTGTAGAGACAGAGTCCCTTTATGTTACCCAGGTTAGCCTCAAACTCCTGGCCTCAAGTGATCATCCTGCTTTGACCTCTCAAAGTGCTGGGATTACAGGCATGAGCCACTGCGCCCAACTCCAACTGTTTATTTAAAACCTATATAGACTGGGCGCAGTGGCTCACACCTGAATCCTAGCACTTTGGGAAGGCGAGGCAGGTGGATTGCCTGAGCTGAGGAGTTCAAGAACAGCCTGAGCAACATGGTGAAACCCCATCTCTACTAAAAATACAAAAAAATTAAGCCGGGGACAGTGGCTCACACCTGTAATCCCAGCACTTTGGGAAGCTGAGGTGGGTGGATCACGAGGTCAAGAGATTGAGACCATCCTGGCCAACATGGGGAAAACCTGTCTCTACTAAAAATACAAAAATTAGCTGCGCGTGGTGGCACATGCCTATAGTCCCGGCTAAGGCAGGCAAATCACTTGAACTCGGGAGGCAGAGGTTGCAGTGAGCTGAGATCGTGCCACTGCACTCCAGCCTGGTGACAGAGCAACAGTGTCTAAAAAAAAAAAAAATTAGCCAGGTGTGGTGGTGCATGCCTGTAATCTCAGCTACTCAGGAGGCTGAGGCACAAGAATCACTTGAACCCAGGAGGCAGAGGTTTCAGTGAGCCGAGATCATGCCACTGCACTGCAGCCTGGGTGACAGACCAAGGCTCAGTCTCACAAAAAAAAAAAAAAAAAATCATATAAAAAGGAACTGTAAAATATACTTGTGGTGTGTGGTGGATACTTTAGGTAGTCCCTGTGGCTCTGACTTCCTGGTGTTCATGTACTTGTGACTTGCTTCTAACCAGTAGAATATGGCAGAGGAATGCAATGTGATTATGTTATGGGACGTAAGACTCCATCTTGCTAGCAGACTTACTCTAGAGTCTCCTTCACCCACGCTGGCTATGAAGCAAGCTACCATGGGGCAGAAACGCACAATGCAGAGAACTTGAGGAGCTCAGGGCAGGCTGTCCTACCACTGTAAGGGTTCTGCCAGAGAATAAATGATTACATATAATTCCCATAACACCCTTTCTACGTAGACTTTTTAATCCCCATTTTCAAGATGGGGAAAGTAAAGCTGAAGTTTGCTGATCTGCTAAGGTCCCAAGCCCAAGACACAGCCGGGACTAGAGCCCAGATCTGCCTGACTCTGAGCTGAATCTTTTCACCATTAGTGCTCTATCTCCCAGGTGCTGGCCTCTGCTCACTCCATTCCCTTTGGTTGAAATGCACTTCTCCTCAGCGCTGGATATTCTTCCTCCTCCTTTGACAACTCACAGGTCAACTTCTCTGAGAAGTTTACCCTGATAACCCAAGAGGGAAAGAGCATCTCAGCATCACCCTCCTCTAAACATTTCCAACCCTTCGCATCCACTCATGAAAATGGTAGAAATGGCCGGGCGCGGTAGCTCAAGCCTGTAATCCCAGCACTTTGGGAGGCCGAGGCGGGTGGATCACGAGGTCAAGAGATCGAGACCATCCTGGTCAACATGGTGAAACCCTGTCTCTACTAAAAATACAAAAAATTAGCTGGGCATGGTGGTGCATGCCTGTAATCCCAGCTACTCAGGAGGCTGAGGCAGGAGAATTGCCTGAACCCAGGAGGCGGAGGTTGCGATGAGCCGAGATCGCGCCATTGCACTCCAGCCTGGGTAACAAGAGTGAAACTCCGTCTCCAAAAAAAAAAAAAAAAAAAAAAAAAAGAAAAAAAGAAAATGGTAGAAGTATGTACACTGCTTCCTTGCTAAGGGAGTGTCCATCTAATATGCCTGGTGTATTCCACTACATTCCCCAAACCCCAAGCCTACATGAATCCTTGCTTTCAACATCTACAGGATGAATGAAAAGCAAGTAAATAAGTAACTGAAGTTCAGTGGATGTGGCCAGATGCCTGCGGGTCTTCCAAGTCTCACCAGGGTCTAGCATTGAAGTGGGATGCAACCATCAGGGCTGTTTCTGAACAAAATGTCCAAGAAGAGCCAAGAAAATGAAGCAAACAACAAAAAAATCTTGATGAGATAGCTGAAGGCACACTAACCTGCTTTAAGTTGGCTTTTCATAAGCTGTGTCTGTGTTCCCTCCCCACAGTCAAAGAGCCAGCACTCGCCCTCACACCGAAGGACCACAGCAGAGGCACCCCGGGTTGGAGATGGGTATGCTGCACCCGTCCCCAGAAACGTCACATCCATAGACATCTTCCACCCTGCAACAGAATGATCATCTGGGGATTATTTAGTATCACTGCACCAAAAACACATTCCTGTAATATTTACCATTATTATTTTTTGGTTATTTAGAACAGTCTGAATTCTCGTTCTCTTATAGTATTCCACACATATCCACAGTGAGATTTTAATAACTTGGCTAAAACTACAAGTTAACAAATCTTGTAAATTGTTCACACACCCAAACAAACAAAAATAACCAAACCCAGGCAATTAAAAACTATAGTTGAATTCTAAATATATGATGTTCTCAAAAAGGCAAAACTATGGAGATGGTAAAAAGAATAGTGCTTGCTAGTGATACAGCGGGAGGGAGGGAAGAATGAACAGGCGGAGCACAGAGGATGTTTAGGGCACTGAAATGATTCTGTATGATACCATAAGACAAACATGTCATTATACATTTGTCAGTTGTATACAGAATGAACACTAGAGTGAATGAGCCCTAATGTAAACTTTAGTTGAAAATGTATCAATATTGGCTCATCAACTGTAACAGGTATAGCACATTTTTCTTTTCTTTTTTGAGCCCTTAAGCTTCTGAACATGTACCATATTAATGCAAGATGTTCATAAAGGGAAAACTGAGTGGTGAGGGATAAGACAGCATATGGGAACTCTCTATACTTTCCACTCATTAATTTTAAAAAATTCCTTCTAATAAACACTAAACAACTCTAGTTGAGATACTGGGCAAGAGATGGTATTTAGACCACCAAATGGTATCTCTGATGCCCATAATGATCAGCCCTTTTTCTGAACAATCAAAACAGTAATGCTCTATGATGTTCTACAGTCATGCTGACACTTCACAATAATGCTGACAAATGTCTCACTCTCTATATGACATGGTCCATGATTCACGAGGACTTGGGACTCTTATTTTAAGTGATCAGCAATAACCTGTTGAATGTGCAGATTTATTCCAACTGCTGGCACTATTCCTTTCACGATTTCTAGGCACATCTGACATCTCTGATATACTTCTGAGATGGAAAATGTGTATCAAACAGAATAAATTAGAATAAACTGAAACTTATACATGACTGATTGTAGATTGTTCACATTGATGGCAGAGAAAAAAACAAGCTTAAGAAAAACTACTATAAAAGAATTCAACAGCTGGATATAAAATATACGGAAATTTCAATAGCTCTTCTCAGTAATAACATATAAATAGAAATGGGGGGAAAAAACTCATTCAAAGAGCAAAAACAAAATTACCAGAAATAAAGTTAGCAGCAAAGGAACAGCACCCAAAAGATTCACAAAAATAAGAGATACACATTATGTCTTTGGTAAGATGACTTGGTATCACAGAAATGTTCATCTTTCCTAAGTTAATATAGATATATTTGGTGCAAATTCGATCATATTTCCAGTGGGATTTATTTTGGAACAGAAACAATACAAAAATAATATGGAAGAAAAAATAAATGCCTTGGAAGGGGCAAGAAAATTACAAAAAGCAGTGAGTAGTGACTTGTCTTTCTAGGTATCAACATTTACTAGAGCAATCTGACGTAATTAAAACAGAATAGGCCAGGCACAGTGGCTCATGCCTATAATCCCAGCACTATGGGAGGCCAAGGCAGGTGGATCAACCGAGGTCAGGAGTTCGAGACGAGCCTGGCCAAGAAGGTGAAACCCTGTCTCTACTAAAAATACAAAAATTAGCTGGGTGTGGTAGCTCATACCTGCAGTCCCAGCTACTCAAGAGGTTGAGGCAGGAGAATCGCTTGAACCTGGGAGGCAGTGGTTGTAGTGAGCCAAGATTGCGCCATTGCACTCCAGCCTGGGTGATAGAGTGAGACTCTGTCTCAATCAATCAGAATAATATTGGCACAAAAGTAGAGGTAAAAGGGAAGGGAAAGTCCAGCAATAAACTACCTACCTATGGGAATCAATATAGTATTGATAAACCACACTTTACACACAGGTGTAAAAAGTGTGGTTTCTTTAATGAATGGCACTGACATAATAGGTTGTGCTAGCAGAAAAAAGCGAAGCAAGATGCTCATTTTGTACTGTATATAAAAATACACTCCACATAAGTCAGAAATTTAAATGCAAAAAATCCAATAACATGTTCCAAAAATTAGAATATTTATACCTTTAAGGGTAGAGATGGGGAAGCCCTTATTGGCAAGACATAAAACCCGGAAATTTAAAAATCAGACATTTCCACTAAATAAAATATTTTATATATCAAGACTCATAAAGTCAAAGGACAAGGAAAAAAAAACTGAAAGAAAGAGTTTGGACCCCCTTATGACAGAGAGTTAATGCTCCTAAAAAAGTTTATGCAAATGCATTCAAAATACAAAAATACTGATGCAATAGAAAAACAGGCAAAGGATATATATACATGTATATATAGGAATCACAGAAGAAATCCAAATGGCCTATAAGCATGAAAAGGGTTCAAACAACTATCATGTATCTATTTTAAAAATTAAAATAAATAAATAAAAGGTAAGTGTTCAGTCTCCTGATAGTTAGTGGAATGCAAAATACAGAAAAAAGAGGCTGGATGCAGTAGCTCATGCCTGTAATCCCAGCATTCTGGGAGGCTGGGGCAGGAGGATCACTTGAGTCCAGGAGTTTGAGACCAGCCTAGGCAACATAGTGAGACCCTGTCCCTAGAAAAAAATTAAAAAACAAAAATCAGCTGGACATGGAGGCACATGCTTGTAGTCCCAGCTATTCAGGAGGCTGAGGCAGGGGATCATTTGAGCCAGGGAGGTTAAGGCTGCAGTGAGCCGTGATCTCACTGCTGCACTCCAGCCTGGGTGACAGATCAAGATCCACTCTCACAACAAACAAAAAAAAGAGACTGTTTACCACACATCAGCTAGCAGGCAAATATCAATGAAGCAAATCTAGCCGGTGCTAACCAGGATGAGGGTAAATGGGTCCTGTTGCGATTATGCTTTGGGAGAATAATTTGGCAATATATATTACCAGTAATAATGATGCTGATGATAATTATATGCTTTCACCCAGCAATTACCATTTTTGGGAATCTACCCAAATAATAAAGATCTATGTACAATGATGTATACTGCGGTGCCCTTAAGGTGGCTAAAATATGGACACAATCTAAATATGTCAATAGGAAAATGGGTACATTTGACTATTATTTATTCTATCAACTATATATTCTTCAGCTAATAGAAAGTCAAGTCTGCAACTACTGTCCTGGAGGGATGACAAGGAGAAAAGTTACAGATGGCTATGGTATGATCTCATTTTTATAACAATGCCCCAAACTCCTACATTTATGTAAGACAGAGAAAGTCTGATGTGGGAGAAGATACACACCAACCTGTTAATATGGGTTATCTCAGAGGTGATTAAAGTAATGGGGTGGGGGCTGCATGGGAAATTGTTAACTTTTCTTTTAAATATGTGGATTGTTTTATGTTCCAAAGAGTGGCACTTTATTTTTTTTTTATTTATTTTTACTTAATGCTGATGCTTTTTTTGGAAATGTGTCAAACATGCTTCTCTAACTACATATTAGTCTTTCCTTCCATTTTGGGAAACAGCTCCTCCCCATATTTCCTGCCCCCAACCCTCAGATATAAGGTGGTGCATCTCTGTCTTACGCATAGCCTTGAGGTTATTGCTAGTATCCCTTCCATGTGTTACTCTACATTTTCACCTCCAAGATCAAGTCTTCCTCTGATAATAAAGGAGCTTTATTTGCAGAAGCTTCCTTATTGATTTCCAAGATTAGTAAGAATAAACAGAATGCAGAAAGCTAACATTTGTAAAGGCTAATTAACTGCAGAAGGAAAAATAGAATATAATCACTTTGTCATCCCTAAGAAACAATGTATCTAGACAAGTAGTATATAACCCTGGGGGCAATTAGTATCACAGGGAGAGCTTTTGAAAGGTATCAGTGAAGGTCAGGTTTGGTGGCTCATGCTTGTAAACTCAGCACTTTGGGAGGCTGAGGCAGCAGGATGGCTTGAGGCCAGGAGTTCAAGATCAGCCTGCGAAACATAGCAAGGTCCTGTCTCTATAAAAAATTAAAAAATTAGCCGGGCATGGTGGCATACACTTGTAGTCCCAAACAAAACAAAACCCATATCAATGCCTGGGCTCCATCTCAGAACATTTAGATAGGAAATTCTGCAAGTGAAACATGTTTTAGTATTTTTTTAAAAGCCTTCTCCTGTGATCCTCACATGGAGTCAGATTTGAGAACCACTTAGTGAAAGACTAACAGAACTGCAATGGATGGATCAGGCTGACCTAAACTCTCTAGTCAACTAATCCATCTTTTTAAAAGAAGTTTTATTCTGAAAACTTCAGACACATACAGAAGCAGAGACTAGCATGATGCAATGCCACACACCCATCACTGAGCTTCAACAATCATCAACTCATGGACAATCTTGTTTCAGCTGTACACCCCATCCCATTACTCCAAGAATACTTGGTAAGACAAACGTGTGCTGTCTGATAGAAGTACCCCATTAGGCAGCATGTACTGTCTAGCTGTCTCTCTTTCTGATATTAACAGCCACTAGTGATCATTGCCAGGGTCCATTATTTCATTAGGGGTTGCCAAAAGGTGATATTCTCTCATTTCTTTTGCTTGTATTTGCTGGCATTCCCTGGTCAATTGTTTGGTTATCCTATGGTGCTACTAGGTCCACAAAGAGAGACAAGATGCTATCTGACTCCTGGTGTGATACAATGTGAAAAACAGAGTAATCTCCCATGAAGTTCTCTTGCGAAAAAACAGAACCTGACCTCAACAAGGCTACAGGTCTAAATACCTGCTTATTAAAGGATACCACAGAGATGAAAAAAGCAAATTCTGATGTAGAAAACGCGAACCATACAAATGACTTGTTCTTCAAGTAAAATACAGGGAACAAAATAAAGGAAGGAAAAAGATAAAGAGAGAGCTAAGAGACATCAACCAAATGTAATGTGTGTAGTTTGGATACCGATTTGGACAAACTGGAGAAGGGGAGAGAAACAACTAGGAAAATGTAAATGCTGACTGGATAGTAGAGGGTAAAATGAAGTGCTAATTATACTAATAATGGCTTTATGTTTTAAGTGTGATTGTGTTTCATAAACATGAACAAGATAACAGATGGAATGGTACATTTCAGATTTGCTTTAAAATACTACAGTGGGGAAGAGGGTAACAGATGAAACAGGATTGATCACGAATTCGGAGTTCAGTATACTATTTTCATACATGATTTGAAGGTTTCCATAATAATTTAAAAACAAATATAATGAAAACCCTCCCAATAGGTTGGGAAGTAATTAGAAATTATGTAATCAATGGTGCATGTTTTGGGACATGCACCATTCTAGGCACTAGGAATTAAATGCAAGCAAACCAGATTAGGTCCCTGTCTTCTTGGACCAAAACCAACCAACCAAACAAAAAAAAAAACACAAAAAAAATCCCGGCTGCTTGCTTTCTCAAGAATGTGATCCACGTTCGGTGAAGTGCATATTTCAGTCGTGATCACAGTACTGTCATTTCACTCTGGGGCCGCAGATCACAATTACCCGGTGGTGACCGGGCTTCAGCATTTGGAGGCTTCCCAAGCGATTCTACTGGCTGCCGGGTGGAGAACCGGCGCTCCTTCGTTTTCAGCCAGGCAGTATCAACCCTGCAATCACCCTGTGGTGTGCATAGGGCAGATACCACCGTCCTCCATCTTAGAGCTGAAAGAACCGGGGCCGGGAAGCAGAAAGTGAGATGCCAAGGTACAAGCAGGGCCAGAGGCCAGATTTCCAACTTTTAGCGAGCCCAGGCTCCCCCAAGAGACCGAGTTAGCCTCGAAAAAGGCGGGGTGGGCGGCGACGCCGGGAGGCCGAGGCTCCGACCCGAGGCGGTGAACGAGGCGCGTCCTCGCTGCTGGGCGCTCCCCGGGCTTAGGTCCCCCGCGCCGGGCCGAGCCTCGCCGAGCCAGCAAGTCCCAAGGAAGCACGCCCGCCCCGCTCTGGCATGCCCTGCCCCACTCACCCTCTCCCCGAGGCCCGCGCCAGGAGGCGAGGGAGGCACAGGCCAGCACCCAGGCCCAGCCGTCCGCGGGGATACAATACGCCCGGGCGGAAGTGCGCCGCCAGCCGGATCCCGCGCGGCCGCTCTAGGATGCGCGGGAGGTCCGCGCTCGGTGGCGCCCGCCTGGGCCCTGGCTCTGGGCCGGCTTCCGGGCTCCCCAGGACCTCGAGGGCAGTGCCTTGTGGGCGCTTCCCTCCTTCCTGTGTCGCTGTGTGTCTGGTGGTGGCGGTCGCCCTGAGGACCAGAGCGGGCTAAACCGAGAGGGAAAAGGTTACTCTTCTTTTGTTTCCGTATAGTGTTTTCCACACAAGAATGTTCCTCCTGTTTTGCTCATACATTGATGTACTGACCCGAGCATACAAAGCCAACACCAAGACAAAAGTATGCCAGATTGCAGGGTCTTTATTGCCGTAGGCCACGGAGGACTCGCTTCTCTCCAACCTGTGGCCCCGAAAGGAGGGCGTCAAGACCTTTTATACTGGTAAAACCACCTCAGGAGTGAGGGGCTTCGGACGTTCTGAGGGCTAGTGGATTCTGTAAATCACCTCCTGGGCGAAGATGAGGGTGAGGGGCTCCGGACATTCTAAGGGCCAGGGGACTTTGGACATTCTGATTGTTACTTAAGTGGTTCACAAAAGTCAAGATTAGGATTTGTTTACACATTGTCTGGGTAGGGTGGAAATTACAGTCCTTAATTATTACAAGTCGCAGGAGCCAAGATGGCATGGGTTTGGACTGCTTGCCTGCCACGTTTGTGTTACAGAGAGCAGTTTCAATAGAAAGCCGAGGTATGGTTGAGGTATGCAGTTTTATGGGGCTTTTACCATGTCACACATATGTTTGTGTCATTTTTGGTCTTTGGTTAGGATGAATCTTTACTACCTTTCATCCACTAAGAACCTTTGCCTGACCATGTACCTTCATAAAGCCGGGTCTGTATTCCATTTTCCTACTTCTAGACTGGAATATTTGCCTAACATCTGAAGCTGATTGTGCCATACTCGCTTCAAACCTTTCAGACACATTCTCTTAGGTAGTGGACGTGGTATTGACAAGCCCAGGCCGGCTGTGTACAGAACGGGCTAGTGGTAATTACAGACCTCAGGGAAAAACTCCTTCAGTTTGAATAACAACTTTTAAAAAAAGTATTTCAAGCTCCTGTGTACTGCCAGATGCACTGATTTTGTGCTCAGCGTACTAGAGGTGGTCAAAATATCCAGCAGCTGTCCAGGCATGATGGCTCATGCCTGTAGTCCCAGCACTTTGGGAGGCCAAGGTGGGCAGATTGCCAGAGCTCAGGAGTTCGAGACCAACCTGGCCAACATGGCGAAACCTCATCTCCACTAAAAATACAAAAGAAAAAAAAAAAAAAAAAGGAAAAAAAAATTAGCTGGGCATGGTGGTTCACGCCTGTAGTCCCAGCTACTTGGGAGGCTGAGGCACGAGAATCGCTTTAACCTGGGAGCTGGAGGTTACAGTGAGCCAAGATCTCACCACTGCATTTCAGCCTGGGCGACACAGCGAGACTCTGTCTAAAAAATAAAAAAATTAAAAAAAAGTCCAGCAGCTTCAAAATAGGAATCAGAGTGGTTTTTTTTTTTTTTTTTTTTTTAACTACCAGGACAGAGAGACCACTTTTCTTTGTTTAAAAATCATTAATTGATCTATTTATTGGGCTCTTTCAACCTGTATTTATTCAAATATTAATGGAGCTCTGACTTTGTGGATAGTATTTTTGGTGCTGAGAGAATTTTTAAAATATGTCATGGTCCCTGTTTTTATTTTTACTTTTTTTTTTTTTTTTGAGACAAGGTCGCACTCTATCACCCAGGTTGGAGCGCAGTGGTGCCATCTCAGCTCACTGCAACCTCTGCCTCTTGGGCTCAACCAATCCTCCCACCTCGGCCTCCCAAGTATTAGTAGCTGGGACTGCAGGACTACAACTTTCCAAGTAGCTGGCACTACAGGCAAGCCACCACATGCAGCTAATTTTTTTTTTTTTTTTTTTTTTTTTTTTTTTTTTTTTTTTTTTTTGAGATGGGGTTTCACTATGTTGCCCAGGCTGGTCTCAAACTCCTGAGTTCAAGCAGTCCACCCACCTCAGTGTTCCAAAGTGCTGGGATTACAGGCAGGAGTCACTGTGCCCTGCCAGGCCCTGGTTTTAAGGAGACTACACTCAGGTTGGCAAAAGTTGTCAGGAAACAATCCACTAAAAGGGGTATGGAAAAAGAGGGATCACTAGCTAAGAGATCAGTGAGAAAGAGATAGGACTTGAGCTGGATCTTGTAGGATGGATGACATGTTAATTAACGTGGAAATGAAAAAAAATAAAATGGACTTGGTTAAGTGGGGTCCAAATTAGTAAAGCATTGAACACTGGACCTTGAACTTACCTATCTTGACACTTGCCTAGCTAAAAGTTCCTTAAGAAGACACATAGCATTCTACAGCTTGGTCTTGATCACAATCAGCTAGGACAGCAGGTCCCAACCTTTTTGGTACCAGGGACCAGTTTCATGGAAGACAATATTTCCTTGGGGGAAGCATTTGGGGATACAGTTTTGGGATGAAACTGTTGCATCTCAGATAATCAGGCATTAGTTAGATTCTCATAAGGAGCATGTAACCTAGATCCCTCACATGTGCAATTCACAATAGGGGTCACGCTGCTATGACAATCTGATACCTGGGCTGATCTGACTGGAGACAGAGCTCAGGTGGTAATGCATGTTGGCCTGCCTCTCACCTTCTGCTGTGTGGCCCAGCTCCTAACAGGCCACAGACCTGTACTGGTTTGCAGCCTAGGACTTGAAGGCTCCTGAGCTAGGGGTCTCCCAGAGCTGTATTCTCCATAGACCTGGCTAGGGCTTATTTCTACCCATCCATCAAAGCTTTCTACTCCCTTCTACGAGGTTATTATACTTTTAGAGAATAGAAGTTTGTTCATTTTAAAATTTTTCTATTGTGGGAAATTTCAAACATATAGAAGTTGGGAGTGAACCTTTATATACAATCATCACTCAGCTTCAAAAGTTAGCAACATTTGATCCATCTTGTTTCACCTATAATTCTACCTATTAGTCCATTTTCATTCCTATAAAAAAATATCTAAGACTGGGTAACTTATAAAGAAAAGAGGTTTATTTTGGCCTCCAGTTTTACAGGCTGTATAGGAAGTGTGCTGCTGGTGAGGGCCTCAGGAAGTTTACAATCATGGCAAGGTGAAGAGGGAGCAGGCATGTCACATGATAAGACAGCGAGGAGAAGGGGCCAGGCTTCTTTTAAATAACCAGCTCCCCAGTCAACTAATAGAGTGAGAACTCAAATAGGATAAACACAAAGAGATCACACAGACACATAATAAAAATGCTGAAAGCAAAGACAAGGAGGAAATCTTGAATGCAGCAAGTGAAAAAGGATTCATCCCTTACATGATCAAAAGATGACTTCTCAGCAGAAACAATGGAAGCCAGAAGGCAGTGGGATAACATATTTAAAGTGCACAAAGGAAAAACCTGTCAACTAAGAATTTTATGTCCAGCAAAGCTACCTTTCAAAAATGAAGATTAATAAAGACTTTCTCAGATAAAAACTGAGAGGATTTGTTGCTAGCAGAACTGCTTTATAAGAAATACTAGGCTGAATGTGGTGGCTCATGCCTCTAATCCCAGGACTTTGGGAAGCTGACATAGAAAGATTGCTTAAACCATGAAAGGATTGCTTAAACCCAGATTTTGAGACCAGCTTGGGCAATGTAAGGAGACCTCTTCTCTACTAGAAAATAAAAATAAAAAATAACTACCCAGGCATAGTGGTACATGAAAAATAACTACCCAGGCATGGTGGTGCACACCTGTAGTCTCAGCTACTTGGAAGGCTGAGGCAGGAGGATTGCTTAAGCCTAGGAAGTTGAGGCTGCAGTAAGCTGTGATCACACCACTGTACTCCAGCTTGGGTGACAAAGTGAAACCTTGTCTGAAGAAAGAAAAATTTTAAAAAGAAATACTAAAGGAATATCTTCAGGCTGAAGGCAAGTGGCCCCCGGATGATAATTAAAATTCCCATGAAAAAAAAACCCAAAATGCCCCAGTAAAGGTGCAGTCCTTGTAGCCAAATGGCAAGTTTTTTTTCTGAAGGAAGTTTAGGTAGCACATAACCTTGGCTACCACAACCCCGTATCAATATACAAAGTTCCTCCTCATTCCTTTTCACAGTTATCTAGTATTTACTGAGTGATTTTATGTCATTTTATTCAGTCAGTCCTTTGGTTTGTTTCCAGTTTTGCTGTTTGTTTTGTTTTGTTATCACAGTATGGTAACACATGTCTTGTTCATAAGTGATTTTTTATTTTTGCAAGTATATCTTTGGCAGAGATTTCTACCAAGTGGGATAGATGGCTGAAAAGGTAAATACACATATAATTTTGCTATATATTGCTAAAATTCCCTTCATGAGGGTTGTCCCATTTTGACTTCCATTAAGCAATTTATGAGTGCCGTTTTCCTTGGATCTTTATCACCAGTAATGTTGTCAAACTTATGGATTTTTGCCAATCTAATATCTTAATGTGGTTTAAAATTGCATTTATCTTTGATAAGTGTGCTATGCTGAGTATGTTTTCATAGATTTAAGATCCATTTGCTTTTTTTTTTTTTTGAGATGGAGTCTTGCTCTATCACCCAGGCTGGAGTGCAGTTGCATGATATTGGCTCATTGCAGCCTCTGCCTCCCAGGTTCAAATGATTCTCCCGCCTCAACCTCCCAAGTAGCTGGGATTACAGGTGCACACCACCAGACCAGCTAATTTTTGCATTTTTAGTAGAGAGGGGGTTTTACCGTGTGGCCAGGCTGATCTTGAACTCCTGACCTCAAGTAATCCGCCTGCTTCGGCCTCCCAAAGTGCAAGGATTGCAGGTGTGAGCCACTGTGCCTGGGCC